AAAAAAGAACAAAATATTTAGCAGGAATTAGGGGTACAACACAATGCTATAGGGCTGGCTCAGTATATGTGACATTCCCTATCACCACACACACACACACACACACACACACACACACGTATGGAATAGCCAATATCAGTAGTTATACCTTTCTCATAAAAGTTATTCAAAACAGGACACCTCAACGTGGGTACGGCAGTGCACGCTTATAGTGTCAGCTCTCTGGGAAGAAGGCTTAGAGGAAAAGAGGACAAATCTGAATCCATCCTGGGCAATTCAGAGCGTTAGCAAGACCCTGTATCAAAATAAAAGATGATCTGGGAGAGACGGTGCTTGCCTGTAATCCCAGCACTTGAGAGGCTGAAGCAGGAGGCTTGCTGTAAGTCCTGGGCTCCATAGTGACAGCCTGTGTCCGAACAAAAAAAGAAAGGAAGAAAGAGTCCTCTTTCAGCTGACACTCTACTCAAGTTCTGAATGGACAGGGAAAGCAGGGATATTGAAGAGTTCAGGGAAGAAAAGAGATGAATTCTCCCAGCACTGGGGCTCGAACCGTGCTCTTTTCCGCTACTAATTATGAGTCCAGACTGAATACAGCATGCAGGCAGTGGGTTGGACACTGGGGATGAGGCGAATAAGGCAGAGTTTTTACACTCAGCAGAATTGATTCCCAGAAGGAAAGAGCTATTAACTAATTACAACAAAGTGAGCAAAAGCTCTCAGGGGAGAGCGAATTTCCATGTGCAAGGTCTGGGAACAGCAATCTAGTTGGAAGATCCAACACTTGTCTCAAAGAATGAGAGCAGCGTTTCTACCTAGTTCTATGTCCCGCTCCGCCGCCCCCTCAGGTCCTTTGCAGTCCTGGGGATTCAGGTCTTCTCTGAGAGCTACCTTGCCAATGCCTTTTCATTGCTTTGGTTTGACCCAAGGACTTCATAAGTCGCTAAAATGCCCAGGCTGGCTCCACATGTGACCCTCCAGCTCAGCCTCCCAGAATGCTGTGATCACAGGCCCGTGCCATCACGCCTAGGTCTGATTCTCTTTCCTTGGGGTGGCTTCAGGACAGGTGCTCATGGAGACTAAGGGGCTACCATCCTCTGGCACAGGTGATGACAAAAGGGAAATCCAGAAAGCTCCTTTGACATCCACCCACCCACCATAAAGTGGGTGGGAGGGGCTGCCTCGAAGGTGAGGTAATAGCGACATTGAGAAGTGGAAGCCTTGTTTTGTTTTAATTTCCATTTTAAAAGAAGCAGGGATTGAGGATTACCGAGATTACTTGAGATTCAACGAGGTGGAGATTTCATAACGATCCGTTGAGGAAACCTGGTAAGATTTAAAATGTCAAGAACATAACTACAGGGGCTGGGGAGATTGCTCGGTAGAATAAGTGCTTGCCTGGCAAGCGCAAGGGCCTGAGTTCAATCCCCGGTTCTGCCAAAAACAAACAAACAAAAAAACTACAGAATTATCCAGAAGTACGAGTGGACTCACTTTAAAAATCGCGTCATTTTTCTTTTTTTAAGGCGGCAACGATCGGATCCAGTTCCTTCGCACTAAGCTACATCCACAGGCTTTATTTAGTTATTTTTGTGGTACCCGGGATCAAATTCTGAATCCTGCGCTTGCCATGCAGGTGCTTATGCCGCTGAGCTATCTCCCTGACCCCCACAAGCTTTTCTTTCTTTTTTAATTTTTTTAAAGATAGGGTGTCCCTAAATCCCTAAATTCTCTACACAGGGTTCGAATTGACGACCCTCAACCTGACCCAAAAGCTGAAATTACAGTCGCGCGCCATGTCACTGCGCTTGCGCAGTTTAAAATTTAAAAAACTCCCTACACCCCTCATGGACGGTACGTCTGGCGTGACACGCGCGCGGCACTCTGGGACTTGTCGTCTTAGAGACTCCTGGTCCCATGGTGCCCTGCGGCGGGTCGTCGCGCCTGCGCGTTGGGGGCGGCGGGCAGAGCGGAGTGCGAGGCTCTTTTGTTCGGTTGAGGGGAGGGCCGGTGGTCCGGGCCTGCGGTACGCCGCTTCAGTTCAGGGGTCGACTGCGTTCATCCGCCTAGTTGCTTTCCTGGGCGCCACTCCGCCGGCCTGCCGGACGCGACGCGCTAGGAGCGCGGCACCAGTTCTTCTCGGACTCTTGGGCGCTGCGCTGAGGTGAAGAGTCCGCTGGCGGCGGGGGAGGGGGCGGGAGCGCGCCGGGGCCGGCGCGGGGCGCCTCGGTTTCCCGCGCGAGCTCCGCGCGCGGCGCTGGCCGCGGCGTCAGTGGAGAGGGCGGTTCGGGCAACTCCAAAAAGGAGGGCTGAGCAAGCGCTTGGGGGTCCCTGTCGGGACCCGCTAAACTGAAACAAAGCTGCGCGGGCCGGGTGGGCGGGCCCCGGGACCGGGCCGGGCCGCTGGGTGCTCCGATGTCCGCGACAGGGACCGCTGACTCCTGCCAGACCTGGAGCTTCGAAATGTAACCTGAGGATGTCGCAGCCGGCCCGCGCTGCCCGAGCAGTTGGGGCTACACGGCTGGGAAGTAGAAACTTCCAGGAAACAGGAAGAGGAGGGGAATGGCCCGTCGGTGCGCCTCCGGGCCGGTGGATCTGCTGGGTAAATTGGGGAGGGTCGGAGATTTGCTCGGCTTGGCTGGGGAGTGGGACGAGCTCTTAGGATAAGTACGGCAGAGATCCTTTCTGGGGAGCGCGAAAGGCGCCTTTTCCGCGAGGTGGATCCCAGTAGTTGGGCGCCTGTTAAGAATAGGTGTGAAGAAAAAGTGAAATCCACACTTAATAGTTTTTTGAAAGAGATCTCGCTGTGTCGTGCCTGTTAAGAATAGGTGTGAAGAAAAAGTGAAATCCACACTTAATACAGTTTTTTGAAAGAGATCTCGCTGTGTCGTGCGGGCTGGCCCCGGACACCCGGGCTCTCGCGATCTCCCTGCTTCAGCCACTAGAGCAGCGACCGCCTGCTCTGCTTTGCAAGTTTTGCTTTGTTTTCTACTTTCACCCCGTGCTTCCTTTGGGAAGTTAAAAACAAAAAGTTAAACTCTTGCATTAATTATTTAGGACAAAGATAGTTCCTTTTTTTTTTTTTTTTTTTTCTTAGCTGGAGAATAAACCCCAAGTCTTAGCGTGAGTTACATACATCCTCGGTTCTTTATTCATTTTTTGAGACAATATTGTCAGACTGCCAGGCTGGGCTTAAACTTTCCACCCTCTCACCTCCATGTCCCAGACTGCCAAGATTTCAGGCTTAAGAGCCATCTTTCTTGGGTGAGGTCTTAACGGTTTTTTGGTTTGGTTTGGCTTTTGAAACGGGGTCTCGCTGTATAATTCAGGGTCTCACTATGTAGCTCAGGGTGGTTTTGAACTCACTGTGTAGCCCCAGCTGGCCTCAAAATCGTGGATAATCCTTTTGCTTCACCCTCCCTAGTGCTGAGGTTACAGATATGCACTGCCATACTCGGCAGTTTTTAGCTAACCTTTCCCTGTTGAAAACAAAATGAGGTACCCCTTTTCAAAGCTTCAGAAGAGAAGGAGTTTAACTTAGTTGAGGTAGAATTGCAAAAAGCAGGTTGTAATAGAACCTACAGCCAGGGTTAAAATACTCTCATTTGTGTTAAAAATCATGTCAGCCATGCGCAGTGGCAGCACCCCTGTGATCCCAGTACTCTGTAGGTTGATGCAGCAATACCAAGTTTGAGCCTAAGCTGGTCACTTTGGAAGAGTGTGGGAGGGCAGGCCTGGGAATTAATCCCCAGTGCTGCTAAATAAATAAAAAAAGCTGGGAACATAGCTCAGTATGAAGGCCCAGTTTCAATTCCCAGTACCTCCAAGGAGAATCCTGTGGGCAGTTTGGAATGGATCTGAAAGACCAAATGCGTGTGAATGCGGCTTGCCCTCCCTTATATGGAAGGGTTTGGGTATTTTTGTTGTTTGTTTTTGAAGAAGGGTCTCACTGTGTAGGTCAGCCTGGCCTTGAACTTGCTTGTGTGGTCCAGGCCAGCCTCTAATTCATGAGGATCCTGCCAATCCTCCTTGGGATTACAGGCGTGCTTCACCACCACCAAGGGGTGTGAGTGAAAAAGCATCTGCAGTGGAGCCACTTGCGTCTCAGTGGACCTCTAAGGTAGCAGAAGATCCTCACACTTCTGTTTTTCCCTGTGGTAACATTTTTCTTCAGTAGCTGCTGTAGCCTAAATTGTTTTTCATTAAAAATGTAATCAGTGTGTAGTCTAATGGTTCTGGCTTATTAAAGATGAAGTAAGGTACCCTGGCCTCATTTTTTTAGTAATATCACCACCACTGCCACCTTTTAGTGTTTGTTTTCCCAGTACGGGGGATTGAATTTAGGACCTTGCATTTGCCATGCAGGTGCATATGCTGCTGCTTTCTCTCCCCAGCCCCTCTACCACCTTTGTGTGTGTGTGTGTGTGGTGCTAGAGTTTGAACCAGAGCCTTACACGTGCTTACCAGGTGCTTGCTGTACTGCTTACTGAACAGTATCCCCAGAGCCCTTGTTTTCTATTTTATTTTGAGACAATGAGAACATCTCACTAAACCTCTTATTTGAGGCCAGGCTCAAACCTCTAGTCCTCCTGCCCTGGCCTCCAGAGTGCTGGATTACTAACCCGCAGCACCACACTCCTTGCCTTCTTCACTGTACAAGAAACCTGTAACATGAAAAGATTTTGGAGTAAAAAGGCTAATAGCTATTTTGTGTATGAAATAAGTTATCCTTCCTGTCCACTCCTTATATGGCACGCAGGCCATTCAGCCAGAATGAATGAATGGGGCTTTGAGATCCCTCCTAGGAACTTCATTTGTTAGTCAATAGAATGTTTTCATGTGCATTTATGGAGTAGTTGACCTTATTTGGTGGGGCAGAGTAAAAGCATTTCCCTTGGCATGCTTGCCCCACCTCTGCTCACTGAACTTGCTCTGGAATTGCACACTGGCAAGGTGCACAGACTGCTGTGGACCTCTTTACTTAGGCACCAGCAAGCTCTATGGCTTGAATATTCTGTTTTAAAGTATCTGTAGGGGCTGGAGATGTAGTGGAGCAGCATAAGCACCTGCTTGACATGCTCAAGGGCCTGAATTCAATACTGAGAAATAAAAATAATAAGTAATAGTAGGGGCTGGTGAGATGGCTCAGTGGTCTAAAGCACCTACTTAGAACGAGCTTAGCAAAGCACAGGGACTGCGGTTCAATCCCCCAGCACCACATGCCAGCCAGCCCCGCCCCCTGGTGGGCTGAGCTGGCCACACACACACACAAATAAATAAATAAATAAAATTTAAAAAATAAATAAATAATAGTAACCAGAGAATGTAGCTCAGTGGTGTATAGCTTGCCTAGCAAGTTTCATGGGAGGGGGGGCTGCCCGATAGCTCAGTTGTTTAAATAACTACTAAGGCAAATGTAGTCGGGCGCAGGATACCACGGTTCAATCCCCACCTCCACCTGCCTTACCAAACCCACCCTTAAGGCAGCCTGAGCCAGCCCCACCAAAAAAAAAAAAAAAAAATTAAGTTTCATTGTCATGTATAACTTGTTGGTTTTTTGAGACAAAATATACTGTATAGCCCAGACTGGCCTTGAAATCTTTATTAACTGCCTCAGCCTTCCTAGTACTGGGATTACAGTTGTGAGGCACTAACCAGGTTTACTTGTAACATTGTGATCATATGCACTCCCCCAAAAGTGATTTTTTTTTTTTTTTTTTTTTGCGGAACTGGGGATTGAACTCAGGCCCTTGCGCTTGCCAGGCAAGCACTTACTCTACTGAGCCATCTCCCCAGCCCCCCCAAAAGTGATCTTTAAAGAAAACATTTTCTAAAAGTTGGGCAGGAAAGGGCTGGGAATATAGCTCAGCAGTGTAAGTGCCTGCTTGGCAAGCACAAGGTCCAGAGTTTGATCCCTGGTACCACACAAAAAAACTAGTGGCACACACCTGTTACCCCAGCATTGTGGGATATTAACACAGAGGATTACAAATGTAAGCCAAGCATGAATGCTTTAGTGAGAAAGAAGGGCTGGGAATGTACCTCAGGGCCTCAGGCATACTAGGCAAGCCGTCCACTAGAGCCACACCCTGAATGTGTGGAGGTGCACAGTTACCTCTAATCTAGGACTTAGAAGACAGGCAGGAGGTTTGCAAATTTAAGTATACTTTGTGCAATTTAGTGATATCTGTCTTGACATAGGTAATCAGGAATCCGTTGGTTCCCACAGCATGAATTGTGTATGCCTTTACCCTGTCAGATCCTGAACTACAGGGGTTTCCCCACACCACCTTAGGAACAATGAAGTGTGCAGGCTGAGCCTACCAATTTGAATTACAATTTTTCTCCCTTTCAAATGAAAGAAGGGTGACACTTGCCATTAACCCAAGCACTCTGGGAGTCTAAGTGAGGAAGATCACAAGATCTCAGTTGGACAAGTAAGCCATACATTGTCTCAGAATTGTTTTTTTCAGACAGGGTGTCACTGTACTTCAGACTGGCTTTGAACTGTTGATCCTCCTACCTCAGTCTCCTGAGTGCTAGGATTATAGGTTTATAGCACCACACCCAGCCCTGTCTCAAAAACTTTTTTTTTTCTTTTTTTTAAGGGGTGAAGTGTGGAAAATAAGGGTTGGGACTATGGTTCACTCCAGTAAGTCTGGATTCAAGCCCTAGTATGGCCATAAAAGAAAGGAAAAGTCTTCAGTGCCCTGTACATAGAGTCAAACAATAAGGATTTCCCAGTAGCAGTGTTTCTTCAAAAATTGAATAGCCTTTCCAAGGTTAATTGGAAGAATTATGTGAATCTGAACGAAATGTAGATCCTATCGTTATTTGAATTGTGTGACTTCTATTGAATCTTTCTGGCCCAGCGTGTTTGTGATTTGATGGCCAGAAGGGGGCGACCTAGCTTGTCTGAAATTGTGCCTTTCTTTTTACTAATACAGCACCTTGAAGGCCTAACCAAACTAGTTTGGGAGTTTGGTGGCAGTAATTTGAGTTTTCTTAAGTGTGAATGCTTTTGTTTCTGTTTTTAATTCAGCGTAGTCATTCTTTAAAACATAGGATTTTACTGCCCTTCCCCCAGCGCTTGGGTTGAACCTAAGGTCTTCCCCCTACCTGCTGCTCTGCAGCTCTGGCTCCTTATCATTTGACTTTGAGTCA